ATGTTTTAGAAGTAAAAGTATTATTAAATTCATTCAGGAACAGACACAACTTTCTTATCTACTTGCTTTTTGTGAACATAAGGTAACGAAACTACTTGTCCACAGTGATCAGAACTTAATTTTTGAATTATACATTTATGCAACGGCTTCACAATTGTAAAAATGTTATCTATACATGTTGTACTAGATTGAGAAATACGCGTTGGCTCTATAAATAAATTATAAAGACCATATGATTTAAACAATGATCTAAATTTAATATTGATGGAGGAAGCTTCTAGAAGATTGATATTAAAGTCTCCACATATTACAACATATTTATTCTGTTTATTAAGCTTAGCAAAAACTTCCTCCATAATGTTTTCAAAAGTATCGTATGTACAAAATGGGGGTCTGTAGACGCTCACAACAATGAGGTGCTCAAACTCAACACATGCCATTTCTACAGTTCGCTCAACAGAGAGGCTCACAATTTCTTTACGTTCTTTACATGATAATAATTTACTAGCTAATATTAAGGAGCCACCTCTTAAAACTGTATCTCTATTGAAAGAACTGACCACCTGGTGATTACTGAAGTTAAACATTAAATTATAAGCTTTTAACCAATGTTCATTAATACATAAAATATGAATATTGTTGCTATTTAAGAACAACTCAATTTCTAGCTCTTTGCCTATCATGCCTTGTATATTTTGATGCACCAGGTGTAAACAATTTTCATTATCTTTCTGTGGAGTCATACAATTAAAGATAAGCCACATTCTAAATTATTTAAGTTATTATAACTGCTAGAGATTACCTCTATTGTCTCTTTTTAACCGAGACTCAGGTGTCCTCTCCGGCTGATACTTCATATCTCTCCTACCCGGGATACAAATTGGAACACTCCTTTGTGCCCCGGGCTGGAGTTTGTGTATACGTCAGAGAGGACATCTGTTTTCGACGCCTCGGCAGCCTTGAAGGTACGGATCTGTCCATCCTATGGCTGCGCGTAGACAGCGACGACCATCCCCGCGTCTACGGGTGCCTCTATAGGTCCCATAGCGGTAATGCCGACACAGACCGACTCATCGACCACGTCCAAATGGCTGCAGACTCCGTGCTACAACAGGTCCCATCCGCAGAGATCGTGATACTCGGTGATTTCAACGCCCACCACGCTGAATGGCTTGGTTCTCGTTTAACCGATCATGCGGGTAGATCTGTGTACGACTTTGCTTTGGCATATGGTCTAACACAACTGGTTACTTCGCCTACGCGGATCCCAGATGTGGAAGACCATGTACCTTCCCTGTTGGACCTTCTGCTGACCTCTCATCCGGACGGATATCAGGTCTCCGTCGATGCCCCTCTGGGCTCTTCGGACCATTGTCTGATCCGGAGCACGGTGCCACTGACGCTCCAATCGCAGTTGCGATCTGCAGCTTGCCGCCGTGTTTGGCACTATAGGTCAGCTGATTGGGACGAGATGCGGTCTTTTTTTGCACCCTACCCTTGGGGGCGCGGGTTTGCTTCTCGCCGGAAGATCCCAGCGTTGTTGCCGATTCTGTTGCTGATGTGGTACTTCAGGGTATGGAACTTTTTATTCCATCCTCTGTGGTGCCCATCGGAGGCAGATCCCAGCCATGGTTTGGTCGCTCCTGTAAAATAGCATCACGCTATAAGCAGGAGTGCTACCGGGCCTGGGCTGATGCATCAACGTCTCGGGATTTAAACACCAGCGCACTTAAAAAGAAGTATAATTCCGCCTCCAGGTCCTTCAAAAGCGTCATTGCCAAGGCAAGGTCTGAGCACATCGGCAGAATTGGCGAGAAGCTAGTTCGCCTTCCTTCGCGAACCCGTGCTTTCTGGTCTCTCGCCAAAGCTGTCCAAGGGAACTTCTGTCAGCCATCCCTTCCATCTCTGCACAGAGAGGACGACTCACTGGCCCATGCCGCAAAAGAGAAAGCCGATCTGTTGTGCTCTCTTTTTGCGTCTAACTCGACTCTAGATGACGGGGGGAACACACCGCCGACCATTCCGCGATGTGAGTGCTCCATGCCGGATGTGCGATTTACACAGCGCTCGGTTCGCAAAGCACTCTTCTCCCTGGACGTCAGCAAGTCGAGTGGGCCCGATGGAGTCCCTCCCATTGTGCTGAAGACGTGTGCTCCGGAGTTGGCACCGGTTTTAACGCGTCTTTTCCGGTACTCCTACTCCCAAGGCGTAGTCTCGAATTCATGGAAGACAGCTTTGGTCCACCCGATCCCTAAAAAAGGCGACCGCTCAGACCCGTCCAACTACAGGCCTATCGCTATCACCTCCTTGTTCTCCAAAATAATGGAATCCATTATAATTTGCCAGCTCATGAGGTACCTTGAAGATCACCAGCTGATCAGTGACCATCAGTACGGTTTTCGTCGGAGTCGATCAGCGGGTGATCTTCTAGTTTACTTAACTCATAGATGGGCGGAGGCAGTAGAGTCCAAGGGGGAGGCATTGGCCGTTAGTTTGGACCGAAGGCCTTCGATCGGGTCTGGCACAAGGCGCTTCTTTCGAAGCTTCCTTCCTATGGGCTTCCCGAGAAATTGTGCAAATGGATCACCAGTTTCCTTGCTGATCGGAGCATCAAGGTCGTAGTAGACGGTGCATGCTCTGATTACAAGCCTATCAACGCTGGTGTTCCACAAGGCTGCGTGCTATCACCAACGCTGTTTCTCCTGCATATCAATGATATGTTGCTAACTGGTAGCATTCATTGCTATGCAGACGACAGCACTGGGGATGCCTTATATACCGGCCGTGCCAATATTTCTCGGGAAAACGTCGCCGAGTACCGGGACAAACTTGTGTCTGAAGTCGAGTCTTTGCTTAACAAAGTCTCGGATTGGGGCCGACTAAATCTAGTCCAGTTCAATCCCCTGAAGACACAAGTTTGCGCGTTTACCGCTAAAAAGAACCCCTTTGTCGTATCTCCTCAGTTTCAAGGCACTCCCCTTGCTGCCTCAGCCAGTATCGGAATCCTTGGCGTCGACATATCGAATAGCGTGCAGTTTCGTGGTCACTTGGAAGGGAAGGCCAAATTGGCCTCTAAAAAGCTCGGCGTGCTCAGCAGAGCGAGACAGTATTTCATGCCGGCACATCGCTTGCAACTTTACAAAGCGCAAGTTCGGCCCCACATGGAATACTGTTCTCATCTCTGGGCCGGGGCACCCCAGTGCCAGCTCCTTCCACTTGACCGCATCAAGCGCAGTGCGATTCGAATCGTCGACGACCGAGTTCTTTCTTTAGAGATGTTGCATCTCTTTGCGTATTTTATCGCATCTATCACGGGGAGTGCTCTGAGGAATTGTTCGGACTAATTCCAGCCGCTCAATTTCATCATCGCACGTCGCGACATAATTCGCGTTACCATCCGTACCATCTGGATGATTGGCGGTCCACCACTGTGCGATTTAGAAGAAGTTTTCTCCGTCGCACAACTTCTTTGTGGAATCAATTACCACCAGCGAATTTTCTTAGGAACCTTCAAGAAAAGAGCTTACACCTTTCTAAAAGGCCGGCAACGCATCTGCAATTCCCCTGGTGTTGCGGTTGTTCATGGGCGGCGGTAGTCACTTACCATCAGGTGAGCCGCAAGCTCGTTTGCCCCCTATTCTATAAAAAAAAAAAATTTCTAACTGGAACCGTAAGTGTCTTTTTGTGACGTCCACAATTTATTCTAAATAGAAAAATACTCTTTCTAGTGGAGCATTTGTACCAAGTAGACATAAAATATATTCGATTAAAAAAAATTATTTTGAAGATTGTTGACTTTGAATACTTCCATCCAACGAGTTACGGGGCAGTTTTGTGTCCCGGAGCTTTGTTTGGGGACAATGGGACAGGTGACAGAGAAAAGGGACAGTCCCGTTCAAACCGGGACGTATGGTCACTTTAGCTATAATCCGGCGAAGGCTCCGTGGCACAGTGGCTTAGCAATCAGTTGTTGCGCTGGGAGCCGCGGGTTTGAATACCGCACGGAATAAGTATTTGTATGGCCTACAAATAATTGTTCCGGGTCTAGATGTTTATCCTTGTGCAATTTATGTTTGTAAACTGCCTCCATGACACAGGAGAAAATCCTAGCGTGGGGGTAACATTTTTTTTTTAATTTAAATTGAAAGATTGAACCCTTATACTTCTTGTTGATTTTTGTATTACCTTTATTAAAGTTACCCTTATGTATAAATAAATATAATTACGTATGTAGAAATAAAATTGAATAAAAATAAAAACAAACATGTTTTTTTATCCTCATCAATCATTGGGGTGAGGATAAGGTCAGCCGGCATAAGTAATAAGCAGGCTAAGTTACAAGGTGCTCAGTTCAAAAATTAGTAGGTAGGTATCTATGTTACTTTTCAATACGTGATACGTAAAAATTAACAATAATCAAAAACACATCTGCGAAACATGCTACTTATTTATTTATTCTTTATTCTTTATTGCACCAAATATTTGTATAAAAGGCGAGCTATCTATCTATTTACCTGTAGTGAATAGGTATCTTTTAAACTCACAATTTTAAACGCTTCATTTTTAATATATAATTAATTATAAAATTTCATAATTAGATAATATAAGAGAATACATAATTCTAATATAATGCAACTAATATACCGAATAAAAAAATTAAAATACATTTATCGTTGTACGCTGTGTGTATTTCCATAAAATAGTTTATTGATATTGAAAAAATTATACTACGTTCGTACAGTAGGTGGCGTCTTACATATTTCTTACGTTATTATTAGTATTGTGTTTTTAAATTTTCGTAAATCGTTATTAGAAAGATACTACTGCACATCTCCTGATTTGTTTGCCTCTGTCGCCTCTTACGACACCCACGGGATGATATGGGGTAGTCGATATTCTTACACTGCCACTATTATTAGCATTACCTTCTATTACTTTTTATTTTTCTTAAACTTATCTTTTAGAGTTATTAAATTTAAATAATCTAAAAGTATTTTCAGCTCCGACGGACTGTTGGTGTATAATAGTTGTTCTAGTGGTGCGAATCCTGTTACCTTTGGAGCGATCTGTAGATGTTTTATATCTGAAAGCGTTCGTTTCAAACTTAGTAAGTATATTGTTGGAGTAGATTTTTAAATCATCAGCATCATCATTCCAGCCCATCACACGTCCACAGCTTAACATAAGCATACCCCACAGATTGATTGATATATTTGCCACAGGGATATTCGCCATAGTTGCCGCGTTTTGCAGGCGGGTTGGTAAACGCATTTTTTTATTGTTATTAGAAGACGCTGCTGTCTATCTTCTGGTTTGTTTCCCTCTGTTGCCTCTTGTGACATCTATATGATGATATGGGGGACTGAACATAAGCCTTCTTCAGAAATTGTTCGCAGTAGTGGATTTTACGCCATACTACACGTAAACGTGTTTCAAATATATTGCTGATTTAATTATATAACATTATTTTGATTATTTCAGATGATATTCCATATCCTACCATAATTTTTACGAAACATCAGTGGCTCCTAAAAACTATATCTTTTATAATACAGATGATACCAGCCTTTTTCGCCGATTGTTTTTTGTGGCTGTCTGGAAAAAGGCCGAGGTACGTAAAGTTCACGTACTATTTACTATACTTATTGATTATGCCTATGTTTATACATATATATTTATTATTTTTAACGTGGTAGAGCCACTTTACAGCTATATTAGCACGAGTGGATCGGTTTGACCGGGGTACGACGGGAAACGAGGCATTCCATCTCAGTTCATAGGGGTGACAATGCATCTGCATTTTGATTATTAATTGAGGATAAATTTAGATGTCTTTGGGCAGCATTCATTTATCATTTGTTGGAATGTGTGCTCGTTTGTCACTGTTATTAGTTGCGGACTTCACATGTCTTCGAAATATTTTTTATTTTTAGTTTCTCAGACAAGCAGGTTTTCTCACGATGTTTCACTTTACCATCGAGCACGTGGTACCATTGACAAGCAACTTAAAAATATTTTGTAATTGAGTTTCTTATTATGTATTTTCTATGATTTTCAACAGGTACGTTAAACTGCAACAAATAGCATTAAAGTTGAATAATAATTACCAATATTTCACTACAAGATCATGGTTAATGGATTCAAAGAAAACTCAAGCTCTTTATGCATCCTTGTCAGCTTTAGACCAAAATCTGTTTCCCTTTAATCCTGTTAATATAGTGTGGTCCGAGTACCTGCCCGTATATTACAAAGGCGTCAAAACTTACTTATTTTAGGTATTTTATAAAACTTATTTCATATTTGTGGCTATATGGTGTTTAATATCCTTTTTAAGTTTTGTTGTATCAGGTATAAATCTAATTTCATTAATATTTTACAGATTTTTACTAAGCAGTTTAAGAAATAATTGTAATAATGTTGAAAGTAGTCTTTACTATAGTTTGTGTTTGAAACTGTTAAGTAGCAAGCCTATATTTTAAATAGTTTATTCGTGATAAATAAAGGGAATCATTGATATGATGTTTTATTTTGTTTTTTAAAAGTAGTGTAATTTAAAAAGGAAAGTTTTAAAAGGAAAAAATAATATACAATTTTGATTTAATAAATAAATTTAATTAGTTTTAATGTTCGTAAGCTTTTATATCACATTTCATTCCTTAAAAATTGAATTTAAATTTATTTATTTATTGATAAAAAATAATTAATATAAAGTTCAACAAGAGGCATAAGTAGCCCAATGGTTAAGGATACGGACAGTGAAAATAAAAAGTCGTGGGTTTGAATCCGCCACTACTCTCGTGAACCACTCCTGACACAAGCATTTTAATCTTATTTGGAATGTTTCACGAAAATATTGGTCGTGTGAAAAGCAAAATTGCACGAGAAGCACACAGCACAGCACTTCAACTCCAAGAAAAACGGCACAGGTGCCTTGCCTGTCACGGGGAATATGATTTAGCTCATCTTAGCCTCCTTCTACTTATCCCTATTCATTCGGTTCAAGTCTTAACATAACATGTGTGAATTGCAAACTCTATATAAACGACTACGAATTCTGGGCTTATGCAGACTGACCTATCCAGACTTATACATTATTATACATATAACCTCTTGAACCGGCCAGTTAATTGTGCAGTTTGGCGAACCGTTGCATTGCGTTTATTGTTGTTGATGTAGTTTATTTCCATTTTGGTATGTCTTTTATTATTCGACAATATTTATTTACTTATTTATTATATAATATGCCAAATATTTAATATTTATAAAGATAACTAGTCAAAGGGTCCAACCAAGACACTTTTTATCATAATTAGCAGCCTTTTGCCGCTTTCAAATAATATATTTTTAAAGTTAAACTTCAAATCATTATCACGTCGGAAGGAAATATTAATTGCAGCCTATCGACTCTGTAGGAATATCAAATATCCAATAATAACATCCCGTGGGTGTCGGAAGAGGCGACAGAGGAAAACAAATCAGGAGATGGGCAGCTGAGTTTTCCTAATAACAACTATAAATAAAAAATTACTGTTGCCAACCCGATTGCCAAGCGTGACAACTATGACAAATATCCCCCCTATGGGGCAATCTATGGGACGCCTATGTTCAACAGCTCACGACACCTACTGGACGATATAGGTTATTGGTATTTTAGACCGCCATTACCCGAAAAACTTAATATTATATATTTTTAACAGTGGTAGGGCTGAGCGGTAGCTTTTGCTGTCGCACGGATGGGCCAGCTCGAACCGGGGTGGTACCACGACCTCACAGAATACCAGCGTGAAATAGAGGTTTACCTTTGCGTTGTGCATGGTGAGTGTAGGTGGCCGGAGGCCCTATCCCCCCCTCCAATCAACGTGGTAGTGGAATTAAATAAAAGACTACCCCAAGAGGGTACCAGCACCCCTGGAGAATCCCTCGCTGAGCATCCACGACCAAACTACTTCACTCCTGAGCGTGGGTGTTCAGGCTGCCCCGCGTATTCTGGGGAGGGGAGGGGGGGGGGGGAAATTCCGCTCGCGAGTAATGCTGCTCGGGGCAAGCGGAGAAATACAACCAAGGCGACCCCGGTCACGCAATCCGTGAATTTTTGCAACATCAGGGGACTTTATTCCAACCTTAACGCTGTCCATTACCATCTAGAAGCCGGCCTTGCTCTTTTTAAGTGAGACTCAGGTGTCCTCTCCGGCTGATACTTCATATCTCTCCTACCCGGGGTACAAATTGGAACACTCCTTTGTGCCCCGGGCTGGAGTTGCGTATACGTCAGAGAGGACATCTATTTTCGACGTCTCGGCAGTCTTGAAGGTAGAAGGTAGCGTAGACAGCGACGACAATCCCCGCGTCTATGGGTGCCTCTAAAGATCCCATAGCCGTAATGCTGACACAGACCGACTCATCGACCACGTCCAAATGGCTGCAGACTCCGTGCTACAATAGGTCCCATCCGCAGAGATCGTGATACTCGGTGATTTTAACGCCAGCCACGCTGAATGGCTTGGTTCTCGTTTACGTATGCGGGTAGATCTGTCTATGACTTTGCTTTGGCATATGGTCTAACACAACTGGTTAATTCGCCTACGCGGATCCCAGATGTGGAAGACCATGTACCTTCCCTGTTGGACCTTCTGCTGACTTCTCATCCGGACGGATATCAGGTCTCCATCGATGCCCCTCTGGCCATTGTCTGATCCGGAGTATGGTGCCACTCACGCTCCAATCGCAGTTGCGATCTGCAGCTTGCCGCCGTGTTTGGCACTATAGGTCAGCTGATTGGGACGGGATGCGGTCTTTTTTTGCATCCTACCCTTGGGGGCGGGTTTGCTTCTCGCCGGAAGATCCCAGCGTTGTTGCCGATTCTATTGCTGATGTTGTACTTCAGGGTATGGAATTTTTTATTCCATCCTCTGTGGTGCCCATCGGAGGCAGATCCCAGCCATGGTTTGGTCGCTCCTGTAAAATAGCATCACGCTATAAGCAAGAGTGCTACCGGGCCTGGGCTGACGCATCAACGTCTTGGGATGTAAACACCAGCTCACTTAAAAAGAAGTACAATTCCGCCTCCAGGTCCTTCAAAAGCGTCATTGCCAAGGCAAGGTCTGAGCACATCGGCAGAATTGGCGAGAAGCTAGTTCGCCTTCCTTCGGGAACCCGTGCATTCTGATCTCTCGCCAAGGCTGTCCAAGGGAACTTCTGTCAACCATCTATTCCATCTCTGCACAGAGAGGACGACTCACTGGCCCATGCCGCAAAGGAGAAAGCCGATCTGTTGAGCTCTCTTTTTGCGTCCAAATCATGACGGGGGGAAAACACCGTTGACCATCCCGCGATGTGAATGCTCTATGCCGGATCTGCGGTTTACACAGCGCTTGGTTCTCAAGGCACTCTTCTCCCTGGACGTCAGCAAGTCGAGTGGTCCCGATGGAGTCCCTCCCATTGTACTGAATACGTGTGCTCCGGAGTTGGCACCGGTTTTAACGCGTCTTTTCCGGTACTCCTACTCCCAAGGCGTAGTCCCGAATTAATGAAAGACAGCTTTGGTCCAGCCGATCCCTAAAAAGGCGACCGCTCAGACCCGTCCAACCACAGGCCTATTGCTATCACCTACTTGTTCTGCAAAATAATGGAATTCATTATAAACTGCCAGCTCATGAGGTACCTTGAGGATCACCAGCTGATTAGTGACCCCCAGTACGGTTTTCATCGAGGACGATCAGCTGGTTATCTTCTAGTCTATCTGACTCATAGATGGGCGGAGGCAGTAGAGTCAAAGGGGGAGGCATTGGCCGTTAGTTTGGACATAGCGAAGGCCTTCGATCAGGTCTGGCACAAAGCGCTCCTTTCGAAGCTTCCTTCCTATGGGCTTCCGAGAAATTGTGAAAATGGATCACCAGTTTCCTTGCAGATCGGAGCATCAAGGTCGTAGTGGACGGTGCATGCTCTGATTTCAAGCCTATCAACGCTGGTGTTCCACAAGGCTGCGTGCTATCACCAACGCTGTTTCTCCTGCATATCAATGATATGTTGCTAACTGGTAGCATTCATTGCTATGCAGACGACAGCACTGGTGATGCCTTATATACCGGCCGTGCCAATATTTCTCGGGAAAACGTCGCTGAGTACCCAGACAAACTTGTGTCTGAAATCGAGTCTTTGCTTAACAAAGTCTCGGATTGGGGGCGACTAAATCTAGTCCAGTTTAATCCTCAGAAGACACAAGCTTGCACGTTTACCGCTAAAAAGAACCCCTTTGTCGTATCTCTTCAGTTTAAAGGTACTCCCCTTGCTGCCTCAGCTAGTATCGGAATCCTTGGCGTCGACATATCGAATAGTGTGCAGTTTCGTGGTCACTTGGTAGGGAAGGCCAAATTGGCCTCTAAAAAGCTTGGCGTGCTCAGCAGAGCGAGACAGTATTTCATGCCGGCACATCGCATGCAACTTTACAAAGCGCAAGTTCGTCCCCACATGGAAAACTGTTCTCATCTCTAGGCCGGGGCACCCCAGTGCCAGCTCCTTCCACTTGACCGCATCCAGCGCAGATCGGTTCGAATCGTCGATGACCAAGTTCTTTCTGATCGGTTCAATTCACTGGCACTGCGTAGAGATGTTGCATCTCTTTGCGTATTTTATCGCATCTATCACGGGGAGTGCTCTGAATAATTGTTCGGACTAATTCCAGCCGCTCAATTTCACCATCGCACATCGCGACAAAACTCGCGTTACCATCCGTACCATCTGGATGATTGGCGGTCCATCACTGTGCGATTTAGAAGAAGTTTTCTTCCTCGCACAACTTGCTTGTGGAATCAATTACCACCAGCGAATTTTGCGGACCGATACGACTTAGGAATCTTCAAGAAAAGAGCTTACACCTTTCTAAAAGGCCGGCAACGCATCTGCAATTTCCCTGGTGTTGCGGTTGTTCATAGGCGGCGGTAGTCACTTACCATCAGGTGAGCCGCATTCGGGGCTTGCCCCCTCTTTTATTAAAAATAATAATAAATTTATATTATATGTAAACTTTCAAATGTTTTAAATGAACAAATTGGATGTGATTATTGAATTAATTGTTACATTAGCTGTGTCCTCGAATTCGTCTGGAAGTGACTAATGATTCGGTGATATAACGAATGTTTTTGTTAGAAATTACTAAAAATTATTTAAATAACTTAATATTTCTTTGTCATCACTGTTTTACTTTATAAACATTCATGGAACACATAATTTATAAGGGAACACCAGATAACACTAGAATAGATGAATCATATAAAATATATGATGAGGTGTATGCAACTCAATATTTTATTGCACCAAAATAACCGAATCACGACTCCCCGAACAAGATACGTGAAATGACTGCTTCAAAGTAGTTCACCTTGTCGTACTTTACTCGTAAACTGAAATTTACTAAGCAAAAGTTTTTAAGTACTACTCTAATCTCGTTTCATTTTATTTTAATTTCTACCCTCACTCATGACTAATTTTATTTATAATGTTGTTTTATTACGTTGTTTTTAAAAACATATTGTACAAAATTTATACATAAATATAATTTTACAAAACTTATTTCATATTTTCTGTGCGAGTGTCTAATAAAAATTTTTTCATTCCGTATATATAAGTGGGAATGTATTCTGTCCACTTTATATCTGTGGGCTCACAAGGAAATAGCTGACGATCGTGATCAGACTGAGCTGCAAACAGTTCACTGGTACGCGCCGATTTCATCAGCCACGATCGAGATTGAAAATAGTGCATGGCTTCCCTCATCATTGACTGTTTTGATTGAGCCTTTACGTAGGAGAATTTGCTGAAAATAATAAGCAATCAAATAATAAATTTAGATTCACACCAAGTAGTAGCGGTGTAAGCATATCCACTACCCCATGCGTAATACTCATAAGACTGGACAGAGAGAAATCACCCATAAAATGGGCGGCAGCGTTTTCTTAACTAGAAAAAAAGAAACCAAAGAAAACTAATGTAATAATTAATTGTTTAGATTTTAGAGGCCAATTTTCTACGCCAAGTTAGATCAGAATCTGCGACATCGTATTAAATAGTTTACGTCTTAATAAATGTACGTGTTAGATCCCTGCTGTAGTTATATTACGGTTGTAGCACGAATGTGTCAGCTTGGCCGAGCGTGGACCACACTCCCATAGAATACCAGCGTGAAATGACTGTTTAATTCTGCTGTGTTTTGTGTGGTGAGTGTAGAGAACCGGCAACCCTTTTTATTGGAAACGAGGCATTCCATCTCCGTCTTGTCCTCAGGGGTGACAACACATGTGTATTTTGATTCTTAATTTTGATTTCTTTGTTTTACTGGTAAAGAGGCATTCCATCTCAGTCGTCACGGATGACAACGCATCTGCATTTTGATTCGCAAACGAGGATAGATGTAGATGTCCATGGGTCACAGCAAACACTTACCATCAGGTGGATTGTGTGCTCGTTTGTCACCCTGTCCAATAAAGAAAATTCGATGATAGATGTAGATTTCTAAGGACCACGGCATCCACTTACCATAAGGTGGACCCGATTGTCATCCTAATTTTATAAAATATAATAAAATAACTTTGGTTTCCGCTACCATTATTGAAATTTTTCATCCAAATATTAAATTGTGATTAACAGCATGCCCGCCAACACAAGATTACATAGTAAGCAAAACTGCATGTCCGACAAGTAAAATGAAGCTGAACTCCTTAAGACAATTAATAGAATTCAGATGTCAGATGTCAGGGAAGTCAGATGTCGCTAGTGACACCGTAAACATCGAGCTCGTAAATAAAAATAGTAAATAAATAGTCTTATCGTGATAGTAACCGGATATTTGTTATGATTCAGTATATTTGGTGCTAATATATACTATATAATGTTATCAGTGCAAAAACTGTAAGATTAATTGCATAATCAAACATTTCACATGACCTATTGTTACAGAAATTGGAAAAAATTGGAATTAGAGGACCACCACTTCAATGGATTTCATCATATCTTTATAATAGGCAACAATGTGTTATTGTTACTAAAGCAGATGTAAATGGGGACATAATAACGTACTCGTCCGAATACCGAAACAATAAATATGGCGTTCCACAGGGAAGTGTTCTCGGTCCAATTCTGTTTTTATTGTACTTAAATGACATTGTCAATATGACGAAGCATAAATGTATTCTATTTGCTGATGACATTTCCATAATCGTGACTTCCAATAAAAAAATTAATAATATGAGTGACCACGAAGCTGACATGAATAATACAATAGATACTTTAATAAATTGGGTTGACATACATAATTTAAAAATTAATTTAGACAAATCTTTATATATACAATTTAATAAATGCACTAATAATAAACATAATCTTAAACTTAACATTCCAAAAATAAAAGCAGCTAGTCATACAAAATTTTTAGGTTTAATTATAGATGACGATATAAATTGGAAACCACATGTAAATGATGTCTCTATCAAAATAAATAAATTCGTGTATGCACTTAAACAAATAAAAAACATAACAAACATAAAAACCGCTGTCATGTCCTACCATGCATACGTAGAATCTTTACTGCGGTATGGTCTTATAATGTGGGGCAACAGCACTGATCAAAATAAAGCATTTGTCGCGCAAAAAAAATGCATTAGAGCTATATGTGGGCTAAAACCGAATGAATCGTGTCGACCAGTGTTTAAAAAACTTGGCTTATTACCACTACCATCACTTTACATCTATGAAGTATGTATGTTTGTACAGAAGCACAAAACGTTGTTTACAACGATAGATGATGTAAATCCCCGCAGTCATCGAGATCCATATAGACTTATACTAAACGATAATCCTAGAATAAGAAAATATAATAAAAGTTGTTTATTTATGTGTGTTCAGTTATATAATAAGATACCTAATTACTTAAAAATATTAAATACAAGATCATTTAAATTAAAACTATATCAGTGGCTAAATAATTGTAATTTCTATAGTGTTAAGGATTTTTGTAGCCAAAAATATTAATGTAAAAAAAAAAAAATTTGCATGCTATGAATAACCGTAGCAAAATATGCTGATCTGAAAAGTTTTGTAAAATCTATTATATACCATGTTTTATGCAAATAAAATATTATTATTATTATTATTATTATAGAATCAGGCGTTACTTTGCGGAAATCCATTATATTAAAGTTGGTAAAAATTACCTTGCTATTGACGTATTCTCATCAGTGATGTATCTTTGGTATAGTGGTGTTGGGAGTAGTGGTGCTGGCATTAGTGGTGACGGGGATAGTGCACGTAATTGAGGGAGGGCGGGAGGTGCTCTTCAAACTAGGTAGTTTTAATTTATCGAGCGGATGTAGGCAAGGTAATTTTTACTACCTTTAATTTACCGAAATTCATACTCTTCACGCTCAATTGGTAATTTTTTGAATATATCGACGTTTATATTAATTTAATTGTAATGCAAAGAATATAAACTTTTAGTAAAAACTCACTTTTTCTGAGTGCGGGTTATATATATCCAGAAATCGGCTATATAGGCTGGTATAGTTTCAAATAACAGTGAAAACAGTTTTACCAATCGCGCCGATGTTGTGTATATAAGACCGATCAGAGGAAAATCATCTGAAAAATAAAGGTTGTAAGATATTATATATATTAAACATATACCATAAAGAAGTATATATTTTATCCATCCATCCATCAGAATTTATAAAACTTCTTGTCTATTGCTTAAAATAGGCCTCCCCCATAGAGTGCCTTATAGGAGGGATTTTGTCATAGTTGCCACGCTTTGCAAGCGGGTTGGCAACCGCAGTTTGTTATTATTTTGAGTTATAACCAGGAGAATGCTTCTGCCCATTACCTGTTTTTAGTTTCCCACGGTCGATATGGGGCAATGGATATTCATACACTACAACTTCACGGTATATAGAAGTATATAATATATTGGACATAATATAATCGTGAACATTATTTCAATTCTTAACTAAGTAGTTAAAATGAATATACATTGAATAAAACTACTTTTACGGATTTTATCGCGTTTAATTGACTTATGTTTCTTATTTTTATTAATTCCCGACGTTTCGGGTGCTTTACAGCACCCATGGTCACGGGGGACTAAAGTGATTGACGTCCCGATGTCAGAGTTAACCCGGAGTACCTACAGCTTTTTTAATTACGTTTGGCGTTATATCCCCAAAACACTTCACCACTGCATTGCAAGACGTTTTCAAGCTACTGGACTGGAAATGATACGGTATTAACATCAATGGTGAGTACATCACTTATCTTCGATTTGCCGACAATATAGTCCTCATGGCAGAATCGCTGGACGCCCTAAGCACAATGCTCAATGACCTCAATAGTGTCTCCCAACAGATAGGTCTAAAGATGAACATGGAAAAAACAAAGATCGCACCTATACCGGTAGTTATTGGGAGCTCTAAGCTCGAAGTTGTTGAGGAGTATGTTTACCCGGGACAAATAGTCCGACTAGGTAAGTCCAACTTCGACCGAGAGTTCAATCGACGGATCCAACCCGGTTGGGCAGCGTTCGGGAAATTACGGCACATCATCTTGTTAGGTAAACCTCAAAACTTGAAAACGAGACTGTACAACCAGTGCGTGTTGCCAGTGATAACCTATGGAACTGAGTCGTGATCCTTCACTGCTGGCCGTATGAGGAAGGTTCCTCAGCGAGCTATGGAGAGGGCTAATCTCGGAGTTTCTATGCGTAATAAACTTGGAAATGAGGAATCCGCAGTAGAACCAGAGTGACCGACATTACCCAACGGATTAGTAAGCTGAAGTGGCAATGGGCCGGCCATATAGCTCGAAATACCGACAACCGTTCGGGAAATAAAGTTCTAGAGTGGCGGCCTCGTATCGGCGGACGAAGTGTAGGGCGTCCCCCCACTAAATTGAGTGAATACCTTGTAAGACATGCAGAAAGTCGATGGATGCAGGTGGCTGAGGACCGTGCTTTGTGGCATTTCTTGGAGGAGGCCTATGTTCAACAGTGGACTTGTGAAGTGTTGTGATGATGATGATGATGATGATGATGATACGATGCAGCTTCTTTTGTATACTTGAAGATTTGCTCATTAGTGCATATTTGTATGTGAGTGATCGGCATTATGAATGCTGTATGACATGAAAACATAACAAAACTCCCAGTCTCGAAGACAAACAAAATTGTTTTATCCTAAGTGACACCAGATATCTGAATACGAAACTATGTAATTTTTAAATAAAAGCTTATTATATTTAATAAGTCTAGCCCTTACTTGCTTTCCGAATGTTGCCCATTAATTCACCGTAAGTACCTTACATTTAACATTAACTAGGATCCCATTCGCTTCTTTACAATGTATTTAAAGTCAAAGTACAATCATGAACAAGGTCTTTAATAAGTATTCGTGGATTATTAGAAACCCTAATTAATTGGAAAGCACAAAAAATGAAAATATAATAATGACAACTTAAAATTAGTGAATTTGGAAATATGAAACTTTATTCCCGAATCACGAATACGTACATTACGTGAGTAAAATTTTCAGTGCAACCCGAAATTTCCCCGATATCACTTAACCGAAATTGAAGCGCCAAATCTAAATTCCGTTTTAGCAGCTTAGTAAACAAGGTATTACCTGTCCACTTTAGAATTAATTACATCAGAGAGTACAGATTAAACTACGTTTGAAATTTGTATAACCATGCAGTGTTCATTTTACACATGCTAGCTTTACGTTTTACAACATTCAGATTAATTCTGTTTAAGTGACGACGTGGTAACAGATATGGAAGTCGATGGATGTAGATGCCTGAGGACTGTTTTGTGTCTTTGTGGCATTCTATTGGGAGGCCTATAGCCAGCAGTACGGATTAGTAAGGTGAAGTGGCAATGGGCCGGTTATATAGCTCGAAGAACCGACAACCGATGGGGAAAAAAGATTCTTGAGTGACAGCCTCGTACCGGTAGCTGAAGTGTAAGACGATTCCCCACTAGATGGAGTGACGACCTGGTAAGACATGTAGCAAGTCGATGGATGCAACTGGGTCAGAACCGTGGCATTTGTGGCATTCCTTGGGTAAGGCCTATGTTCAGCAGTGGACTAGTAAATAGCTGTAATGATACTTGTAACTGTACTTTATTGTGGCTTTAATGATGATGTTAATCACTATGTTGATTATAAAAATATTGAGGCATATGGTGTCGGTATTTGAGAACACATTACCCTATTTTCTACCGACTTCAAAAAGTAGAAGGTTCTCTATTCCACTATATGATGGCAAAGGTTAATAATAATTTAAAATTGAAAACTTTGTACAACCGATTTCAATATAAAATATTAAGAATAACTCAAAAACTATTGGTCAGAACTTGATCAAATTTATATGGAACCACATGAGAAGCACCAGCTTTCAAATAAAAAGAATCATCGAAATCGGTTCACTCAGTAAGAAGTTATGAGGTAAGAAACATTAAAAAGCATACAGTCGAATTGAGTACCAGCTCCTTTTTGAAGTCGGTAGAAAATTCCAAATAAAGAAGGAAATTATATATTTTCTTGTAATTACAAAAAATTGCTCATTGTTAGCCAGGTTAGGTTAGGTTAGGTGAAATACTCCATGGCTTTGTATGGGGCACCCATATGGGTCGGGGCTCTGACGGAAAGCAAGGTCACCTTCCTGAGAAAGCCCCAGAAGGCGATGGCCGTCGGAGTCATACGAGGGTACTGGACGATCTCGTATGAGGCGGCAAGTGTCTTGGCGGGGCCTACACCCTGGGATATGGAGGCAGAGTTCCTTACGCCTCTGTACGTTTGGCGCTCGGAACTTCGACATCGAGGGTATCGTCCTTCTTTCAGAGAGTGGCAAACGCGAAAGCTTCACGCTCGGCAGCTTATGCTTGAAAAGTGGAAAGAGCGTCAGCTCACCCGAAGGCAGGATGCAGGACTGTCGGGGCTGTTGTTCGATCTTGTCAGACTGGTTGAACAGGCGGCGCGGGTCACTGACATTTCGGCTGGTACAGGTGCTTTCCTGGCATGGGTGCTTTGGTAAATATCTGTGTCGTATAGCCAGAAGATGCCGTGTAGTGGCGGTAAAGAATATCCACTACCCCATATCTTCCCGTAGGTGTCGTAAAAGCCGACAAAGGGAAACAGGCAGGAGATGGGCAACAGCATCTTCCTGATAACAACAAACATATAATAAAAAAACTGCCGTTGCCAACCCGCTCGCCAAGCGTGCCAACTATGGCAAATACCCCCCTATGACGAGAGTAACAAAGAAACGGCCCCCAGTCCCCAGCGGCCCCGCTATTCCTGGCTACGTTGGCGACCATGGTAACGGCAGGGCAGGGGGTGCTACGAATCTCCGGTGGAGGTTCAGTTGCCACCTAAGACAACTCGACTTGGCAACATACAACGGACGCAACCTGAGGACTGACGAGAAGATCGTGGAGCTGGAAGAAAAGATTGACAAGTTACGCTGGCTTATTATAGGATTATCCGAAGTCCGAAGAGAGGGGGAGGACACGGTAATCCTCGAATCCGGCAAATTGCTCTATTACCGGGAGGGCGACCATCTGTCCCAAGGAGGTGTCGGATTTATCGTCCACAAGTCTCTCGTTAACAACGTTGTAAAGATTGAGAGTGTGTCGACGAGGGTTGCGTACCTTATACTCAGAATCAGCAAACGGTATTCGCTGAAGGTCATACAGGTTTACGCACCATACCTCGGCACACCTCGATGAGGAGGTGGAGGAAATGTATGAGGATACTCTAGAGCCATGCATTCCTAAAAAACCCAATATACGGTGTTAATGGGAGATTTCATTGCAAAACTAGGCACAAGAGAGAACGGTGAGCTGAAAGTAGGGAAATTTGGAATAGGGCAACGGAACCCAAGGGGCCAGCAGGTGGCCGACTTCATGGAGAAAGAGGGAATCTTTATGATGAACTCTTTCTTTCAGGAAGTGGACCTGTTCGAGGCCCGTCGGTTCGACAAAAAATGAGATTGACTTCATTATGACGACCAGACGACACCTGTTCAGTGATGTCTCCGTGATCGCGAGGGTGAAAACTGGTAGCGATCACCGAATGGTCAGAGGCACACTGAACCTAAGCGTTAAGTTGGAGAGGTCTCATCTAATGAAGTCAACGCTCCATCCCCTTCGTGCTCTGTTCGAAAGTCCTGAACCCCTTCAGCTCGAGTTACAAAACCGTTTTCAGTGCCTAGAAGACTGCAATGAAGTGGACGATATGAATGACAAGCCCGTGGAAAATGTCCGGGGGGTCGGAGCTAAGTTCTGCAAGACCCGCCGCATAAGAACATAAAAACTCTCCGATCACACTCTTAATCTCATGGCTGTTAGACGGTATATGAACCTACATTCTTCAACAGATTTGACAGCATACAGGCAACTGAACTTGTATTGAAGAAGCGATCGAGCGGAACCAAGGCTCCAAAGTCTTTGCCAGAGATCTGTCTTCCAGAAAGAGTCAAAGCTGAAGTCCAATTGGGGCAGGATCGTTTCTGGGACACCTGTGATTTTGAGTGAGATTGAGAGGTTCTATGGGCAGCTGTACACGTCATGTTGGAGCCACACGCAAGTGTGAGTAACGATCCAAGAACGAGTCTTATCCGACACTATTCCGAAGATATCCCGGACGTCAGTCTGAGCGAGATTAGAATGGCTCTCTAGCAGCTTAAAAATGGCCAGGCCCCAGGCGAGAATGGAATTACAGCAGAGCTTCTGAAAGCGGGTCGAAGACCGGTACTCGAAGTCCTTCAGAAGTTTTATAGTTCCATCCTTCATGGTAGCATTACACCGGAGGCGTGAAGCAGAAGTGCGGTGGTCTTGTTCTTCAAGAAAGGTGACAACGCTCTCTTGAAGAACTACAGACCGATTTCCCTTCTGAGCCGCGTCTACGTGCTGTTTTCGAGAGTCATTACGAATCGTCTCGCGCGCAGACTTGATGACTTCCAGCCTCCCGAACAAGCCGGTTTCCGAAAAGGCTTGAGCACCATAGACCACATACATACCCTTCGGCAAATTGTACAGAAGTCCGAAGAGTACAATTTGCTACTATGTCTGGCGGGTGGCGTCGAAATTTGGGCGGTGCTGCAGTCCCTTCAGCGGTGCCAAGTTGACTGTCGGTATATCGAAGTGCTGAAGTGTTTGTACAGTAGAGCTACGATGGCTATCCGAGTACAGAGCCAGAGCACGAAACCTATCCAACTGCAGAGAGGTGTAAGATAGGGTGATGTTATATCCCCGAAACTCTTCACCGCTGCATTGGAGGACGTTTTCAAGCTTCTGGACTGGAAAGGATACGGTATCAACATCAATGTCGAGTACATTACTCACCTTCGATTTGGCGACGATATAGTCCTTATGGCAGAATCGCTGGAGGACCTAAGCACCATGCTCAATGACCTCAATAGTGTCTCCCAACGAATAGGTCTTAGGATGAACATGGACAAAACAAAGATCATGTTTAATGTCCATGTCACACCTATGCCGGTAGTTGTTGGGAGCACTAAGCTCGAAGTTGTTGACGAGTATGTTTACCTGGGACAAATAGTCCGACTAGGTAAGTCCAACTTCGACGGAGAGGTCAATCGACGGATTCCACTCGGCTGGGCAGCGTTCAGGAACCTACGACATATCTTCTCGTCAGACATACCTCAAAACCTTAAAACAAAATTGTACAACCAGTGCGTGTTGCCAGTGATGACTTACGGATCTGAGACGTGGTCCTTCACTGCTGGCCGTATGAGGAAGCTCAAGGTCACTCAGCGAGCTATGGAGAGGGCTATGCTCGGGGTTTCTCTGCGTTATAAACTCAGAAATGAGTATATCCGCAGTAGAACCAGAGTGACCGACATAGCCCAACGGATTAGTAAGCTGAAGTGGCAGTGGGCCGGCCATATAACTCGAAGAACCGACAAGCGATGGGGAAGAAAGGTTCTTGAGTGGCAGCCTCGTACCGGTAGGCGAAGTGTAGGGCAACCCCCTACGAGATGGAGTGACGACCTAGTAAGATATGCAGGAAGTCGATGTATGCAGGTGGCTCAGGACCGTGCTTTGTGGCATTCCTTGGGGGAGCCCTATGTTCAGCAGTGGGCTTATGAAAGGCTGTAATGATGATGATGATAGCCAGAAGAGAGCGAATAACTGAGTGTCATCACTGTGGTAGCGACAAGGACACGGCGCAGCATTCACTTGAGGACTGCCCGGCGTGGGATGAATTGCGTTGTGACCTCGTGGTTGTAGTGGTGGACGACCTTTCGATCCCAGCTTTAATTAAAGCTATGGTTGAATGCAAAAGGGCGTGGAGTGCCGGCGTAACCTTCTGCGAACAAGTGATGTTGCGAAAGGAGGCTGCGCAGAGGGAGAAAGAAAGGATGGCAGATACCCCAATCCGCAGCCGGAGATTTTGGCGCCGGAGGAAAGCATATCAAGCTCTGCTACATCCGCCATGATTGAGGCTTAGGTGGCGGATACAGAGACTGTCCGTCGTCTTTTAAAGTCTCGAGGTGATCTAAATGAAGAAGGAGTGGAGAATTCCAGCTCCATTTCGTCATCGAGACGGTCCCTGTAAGGTCTATCGCCGTCGGGGCTGCAGTAGTATGCGAAAGCGTCCCCGTAGCCCCGACCAAGGGCGAATAGATGAACTCCGTGGGGTTTTAGCTGGTAGGAGTCCGTCATAAACTTTTTATCTCCTTCACGACAGGCCGGTGTCCATGAGGATTTCCCCACGTATAAAAAAAAGATGAGGTGAAATACAACATTCTACGAACTGGCTACGATATATATACGATAAGAAAGTAAGAGTAAAAGTAATAACCAATACCACATTGAGTTTAGAATATAGTATAGGATGAATAGTGAATATTAAAACAATAGGAAATTACATCACAGTATGAAAACAGAAGAACCGTGGTTACATGCAGCTTGAACATAATATCTATTGATATCAACCTAATGAAGAGTGGCTACTGCAAATGTTGGTTTGAAAATAACTTACTAAATTTGGTAGCTGCGCTTTCTTTCATACATAAATTTCCAAGCAAGTCCGAAGAAATAGGATTCGATGAGCTGCTACAGATGTTATAAACCGGTACTTCACCGGATCTGCACAAATATAATATTATAAAACATAAGAATTAAAAAAATTAAACCAAATGCATCATGAGACTCTAAAACTATACACCTGATTGACTTAAAATTTAGTATAGTTACTCATTTCGCAATATAAGCACTCTCTAAAAACGGATTTTACGATATTCCCATCAAAAAAAATAATAATAGATTCCGCAATAAAATATTATCGTGTGCCCAGCGAAGCGACTGGGTATCAGCTAGTATACCATAGTCATAAAAATATTTTATTGTCATCGATTCTCAATACGGATAAACATTTTCAGATTATTCAGACGTTTTTAAATGAATTACCTTAGTAGTAAGAAAAATATTATAATATATTAATAAAATTATATATTATAATATTTTTATAATATACTAGCTCGCCAGGCAGATGTTGTTCTGCCCTTTCCAACGACCCATCCTATAAAAATCCTTAAATTCGCAATAAAAATTTTGAGGGTCATTTATCGGGATAAAAACTATACAAATGTATTATCTCTCATATATTTATTAATCTTTATATATAAAAATCACGTGTCACGTTGTTTGTCCACTCCTAAACTACTGAACTGATTTCAATGAAATTTTTACACACTGTTTGCATTTTGGTCTGACTTGTGAGATAATACATTTGTATAGTGGACAAACAACGTGACACGTGATTTTTATATATAAAGATTAATAAATATCAATACATTTTTAAATATATATATATATATTTGTGTAATCGATTTATTTTGTTATTTTTTTCATCAAAATTAAATCTAAAGCTCATGAGGTGTACATTTTTGGATTTTCCAAGCTATTTTGATTACTATTCCTCAGATTGTTGATCTATCCGCGGAGGAGCCCTGGTGACCTGTAATACAGATTTTTAAACCAACATTAGGCACTAGTCTCTCACAAGTAAGGTACCAGTCTGACACGTTTGTAATACAGAGCATTAAGATTACCTATTGTGAGAGAGAATAAGTGGATTCATTCATTCAAGAATTAAAGTGACAAAACATAAATGACAAATATTATTTCAAATTGATCGTGATAATGTGTTATGGTGGTAATTATTTAAAAAAAAAATTTATTTAGAATGTCAGCCTCATGTATCAATAACAAAATGTATTAATCAGGACATCCATCACACACTTTTTTTACCACCAGGGCGGCGCCACTTAAAAGTACGGTTAAATATTTGACAGATTTCATAGCGGGGAAGTTAATTTGTTCGGGAAAATATAAAGGTTAATGTTTGTTTTTGTGCTATAAGCTATATTTTATATTAATAAGATTAAAAATAAATAGACCAACCCACAGATATAAAAAAAAGAAAAATTAAAATAAGTTAAAAATGAGTAAAAAATTAAAGAGCAAACCACAGAGGCATTGTTTTATGTATTAATAGAATACACTAGAAACTGATAAACTTTTATTAAAAACTAATTTCTCAATTAAATGACATTGTGTAATAAAAGACTTTACCTCAGTGTCAACTAGCGACACCTGCTGAGCAGAAAATTATTATAGCCTTCATTTGAAGCTAATTTTTTTTTATAGTATAAGGGTGACAAACGAGCACACAGTCCACCTGATGGTAAATGGTTGCTGCGGCCCATAGACATCTACATATATCCTCTATTACAAATCAAAATGTATATGCGTTGTCACCCGTGAGAACTAAGATGGAATGCCTCATTTCCAGTAAAAAGGGCCACCTGCACTCACCAAGCGAAATGCAGAGGTAAACCTCTACTTCACGCTGGTTTTCTGTGAGGTCGTGGTACCACCCCGGTTCATAAACCACGGTGGTTCTTTGATATGCATGAAACCTGTGAAATTTGCTGTAAATTGTCTTATTAAATGCATTCAAACTTGAGGTTAATTTTGCAGTTTTTTTTTCGATTGAATTTTTGGAACTTGTGTTCAATTTATTAGGGCATGAAATGCAGAAGGGTTTATTTATTGTGAAAAGTATGCTCCCTTACATGAGAAAACTAATTGTCTTATTGACATACATAATTCATCAAATACTGCCGTGTTATGACGACTTTTCACAAAATCCTGGGACGTCTACTATATCCACTATCGGTTGTAGAAGTAGTACGGCGCTAATGATAATTATTTTAGATCGTTAACATCTACTCGTATAATCACCGTATTTTTAATAATTTTAAGGTACAAAGCACTTTACGAACCTTTTTACTATCGAAAGTTTAAGGGTCTCTTTGTAATTTGAATTAATTTTATTAACGCATGCAAGACAAAATAATTAATAATTCACGAAAAGTCTTGCACAGACTTTACTGTATTAACGGTAATAACAGGATAGATTAAAATCTCTTATAGCCGTATAAAATATCTTTAGCATGCCTAACACAGACAGTGGCTATATTTGCATGTTATATTTAACAAATATACAGCTTTTGGTGCTTCTATATAATTCTACAATACGGTAAAAGTGATTTTTAAGATTCTTATAGATCTATTGTGAACTTGTAACCTACATAGTATTACTAAGTATTATCTTGAGTGCTATATGCAATATTTATAACTTAATTAAAACGCTTTTAACTCCGTTTTACCTCTTTTAGAACTCATAGTATATTTATAACTCGACTTTATATCCAATGCCTGTACGTAAGCTCTACAAACCAATTTTTATTTCCAAAGCCATTATACGTAGGTCACTCAATAAGTTTTGAAATGCTCCAAATTTAAAAATGGAACGCACCCGTGTTTTATGTTTCTAAAAAGCAAATTTATTTAAAAATAGAACTCCATAAGAAAATTGCTCAATATTAAAAAAAAACGCAACGCTTCCAGCGCTTTTCATTTAAAACGATGGATCTTAACCGTGAACATTTGCGCTCTATGATATATTATGATTTTAAATTTGGTTTAACCGAACAATTAAGATTACAACGGTTATAATCAGCATTACGGGACTCAGCTCCATCAGGCGCAATAATTTTTAGGTGGTTTGCTGAATTCAAAAGGGATAAAATTAATCTTAATGATGACCAAAGAACCCAGGCCCCACAAACAGTGGTAACGGCAGAAAATGTATGGACTACTGAAATGTTGGTGCGAGAAGACCCACGAATGACATAATCGGACATCGAAAAGATTGTAGGCATTAGAAAGCGAAAAACTGACTCGTGTGGATTGGTGCCATGAAATGCGTCTACGTTTTGAAACCGGAGCATCTAGGCGTGTTTCAGAAGTCGTTACTAGTGACGAGACATGGATCTATCAACATGATCCGAAAAATAAAAGGCAATCATCGGTCTGGGTCTACTCAGAACGCAACGTCGGCAAGAAAATGGTGGCTAGTATTTTTTCGCGGAGAAGACATTTGTCGACGTCTATTCTGGAAAATTGCAGGTCAGTCAACTCTGAATGGTATACTATAGTTGGATTACCTGAAGTTTTTCAAGCTGTTCGGGAGACAAGACCAAAGACCGGGCTTCGGGGAATAATGCTGCATCACGATAACGCCTCTTCACGTAACTCCCTTAGGACAAAAGCATTTATTGAGGAATCTGGTGTTGAAACTCTAAGTCACCCACCCCACAGCCCTGACTTAGCTCCTTGTGATTTCTTTTTGTTCCCGAGAGTAAAAGAAAAAATAAAAGGCAAGTTTTTTTTTCAAGCGCCGAAGAAGCCGTGGCTGCCTATGAAGTAGCGATTTCCGACCTGTCAGATCAAGACTGGCAAAAGTGTTTTCAGAGTTGGTTTAGGCGAATGGAACTTTGTATAGAGCATGATGGAGAATATTTTGAAAAGATGTAAAATTAATATTAATAGTATCTAGAATACTTTTTGTATATCTCAAAACTTATTGAGTGACCTACGTATTCACTACTAAACGGCTACTGCTTTTAAAGAGAGATAAGAATCTGTTAAATACAGGTTAAGAAAGATGTAAACTTCCTAAAACCGACACTGTATCGCTCTCTTGCATACAGCAATGTCTGATTTTATTGCTTGTGTGCTACTAGATTTAGAAACCATACTGTTTTATTATGAAAACTGAGTTGTTGTGTTTCGATTTCGCACTGTCGTGTTGCCTCATAAAACACCAATGTTGGTATGAAAAGGAGTAGTGGATTCTCTTATGCCACCACTACAAGTGAATAAATAGCTTGCTGAGTGAATTCAAGCTTGCCCATAGAGTACACGTATGATATATAATCAATTTTTAAAGCTTACATTAAAAGCGATAGGGATACCTTTAACGTTTTACCTCTTACATCTGGCTCCTGTGATAATGATGAGATTAACAACGTAGTCCACAGGAATGAGATCAAGAACAAAATATCTATTTCCGTACAGAACACGTATCCAGCCTTTGGCGACAGACAATATAAATGTCGTGATACCCAGCCAATTATCGATCCAACCTCGCATCGGTTCTTTTGCGGCGGGTGTTACTGTAATTTTTATATATCACTGAGTGTCCTTAGTTATTCAAAAGAAAAATTTGCAAAGATTCATTACTATTCTTTAGATTATAATATCGTTCATCATTAATCAAAACATTATGTTGATTATCATTGTTGTCATCATTACTACTCCCAAATCATTACTATATCCATATCAAAAGTCCACACTTTTGACAGGCTGGAATGCTATGGTGTGGTATGTCATTATCAGCCGTTAAAAAGTGCGCTCATAGATATATATCTCAAACAAGGAATGCTTCAAATTACAGTTTTATTTTTTATTTATGCATTCACCATTATAAAAATAATTTTTAAATTTTTGTTTCAATTTATAAATCGCGTCATAAAAATTAGACAAAGTTACTTTAGATTCTCACAATACCTTTTTTTAAGGAGAGGTGACATCAAATATAATATTTTATTGACATTATCTTACATTACGTTGACATTGTAATAATTTCAAAAGCTAAGAATTATTTATTGTGGTATTTCTACGTCAATGCCAGTAAACCAATGATCTCAAATGTATAATGCGTCAACTTATTGTACTAACAAACAAACACAATTTAAATAAGTTAAATTAATACGTTACCAATAGAAGGTCTAACAATAACACTTGGTATATCTCCGTGTTCCTCTACAACAAGGCTTTCAGCCAGTGCCTTAGTAAAAGTGTAAGTATTAGGCAACCCATCTGTTAAAAATTAAAATTATTATTTTCTACCACTTACACTTATTATATCCTGATCCACAACAAACAATTAGTTTGTAATAAATAGGTACATACTTACTTAAAAATTCATCAATGTTCTCATCTTTATTACATTCATTTGATTGTTCGATATAATCATACACTTCTTTGAGAGTTCTAGGGGGAGGGTATTTGATTTCTTCAATTACTTCTTTGTCTGCATTAGAAAATGTAGTGGAAACGTATACGAATGCCTGAAAGTTCAATATCACGTTAAAACCGAGTTGTCGGTGCTAATAAAATAAATTATAAGGACATTTCAGCATTTACTTCTAAATGGTTAAACCGCTTGAATACTCGTAAAACTTCCCTTGTACCTTCCAAGTTAACATTGACAGCAGTTTTTAGGGGTTCACTGAACTTAATGGTCGCCGCCAAATGGAATACAACTGATACCTGTAACGTATATAATTATATGAGATAAAAATACATTTCGTTATAAACTGGAATGAGACATATTCAGGCACAAAAAATCTTCCCCCCCGAACAGGTTCCCACCTTGTCGTGGCGGGGGGGCTTAGTAGCCGTGGCTTGGTCACCCACGGTGAACAAAGAGGAACCCCTTGGCTGGCCCGTGGTGTAGGGCCGGCCCGAGGTGGCCACTCCGAGTGGGCTTGGCGAGCCCACTTCGCATGTGTGTCGGTGGGCTGCGGTGAGAGGGGTGTCCGCTCCCTCTACCGCTGCAGCCGAGGTGGAGTCGCGGAGGAAGAGGAGTGTTGTTATGGCGATGCGCCACTTGCCCTATCCTCCGCGACTCTGACGGGGCCGCACGGGACGAGGTGGGGCTGCGGGGGGAGAGGAGTGTCGGTATTGCGAGGCGCCGCTCTCCCTACCCTCCGCAGCCGAATCTTGGTTGGCGGCGGAGCCATAGACCAGATCCGCCGCTGGGGTCAGGAAGGCTGGTGCTTCTGAGTGCTAGTTTTTCCTGGCCCCATGGTCTTCGCGCATCGGACACGGGGGCGTCCGTTGCGCATGTTAAATTGGAGGTCGAGAAGGAGGGCGCGCCACGTGTTCTGGTGCGCCTTACCTGAGAAGGAGGTGGGGGAGGAGTAGTCCTCTCCCAGCGCAGGTGGGGCCGCGGATGTGTGCGAAAGCGTTCCCGTGGCCCTGCCAATATGCGACGAGGGTGGAACACCATGGGGTTTTAGTCGATGCGAGTCCGACATAACCCGTCCTTGCCCCCGCGAGGCGGGTATGCGTAGGCATTTCCCCATGTAAAAAAAAAGGCACAAAAATGTCGCTGTTGAACAGGAATACAGAAATTTGTCATATTTACTAGAAAATATTTTACTAGTACATTTTAAACTTCTTAAATAAATTCACCATTATAAATAAAAAGTAAGCTGGAAATATTTCACCTGAATGTCGGTTTAGGTATTAGTAAAAGTATCAAAAACTACGGGAAGCTCAAACCTTAGCCCTAAGTCCTAATACAACTAAAAAAGGACCTATCGACGTGAGTTAATCGTTCCAATGCGCGTTACATCTTTTTCTATTTAAGCATATCCTTCAAGAATGGAGCCTACTTTATAGAAGGCAGGCAAGGCCTGACGTTGCAAGTTTTCATGGGCGAAGATGATCACTTACTATTAGGTGATGTATGCTCATTTGTCCCCACTTCCATAAAAATGCATAATTTATTGTCACTAGTCAAATTTCTCCGCTTCTAAATTAAAAAAAATTAAGTAATATTTAAAATCGCTTAGTCTAGCAATTCGGCTAACACGACTGTGTATTCATATTCTTTATAACTACTCGTACTAGTGCAACAAACATATCCAGCTAGATGTGGTATTGGATTTGGCTTGTGCCACTAATTATATATATTATTTAGATGCACACATATTTTGTGGATAGACTAGCTCGCTACTTTGATACACTGGTGCTATGCTGAGTTAAAAATATTAGCAAAATTTTAAATCTATTACAAAATTCCCTCTATGAGGCAGTCTATGGGGAGGCTTGTTCTGCGGTGGACGTTAGATAGGTTATAATGAAACAGTAATTATTTTCCTACGGATTTGTGACGGAAACATTTTAGAAAGTTTGAAAAAATATTGCTATACTGAAATTTACGGCAATTATTGTTCTCAGCAGAGCTAGGGATAATGGATCAAAAAAAATAATAAGAATAGAATAGAATAGAATAGAATATTTTTTATTCAATATACATTACATGTGTAATTCTTATGGAAAGTCATTTTTTACTTTACCACTGGTTCGAAAAAAACCCTCTGTCCTGGGAAGAACCAGCAAGAAACCCAGCGGGACTTTTTTTTAAAATAAATTTTACAATATAAATGATTACGATCTATTTACAAAATTTATTTTAGAAACTGCTTGGAAGCGATTACCTCATTCCCAGGGTTATTATCAACCATGTATTCATTTATACTATAATAACCCTTTTTATACAATTTCAGCTTAATAAAACATTTAAACTTGGTAATAGAGAGAACCTGTACACTTTCCGGGACCTTGTTGTAATAGCGTATACATTGCCCCAAGAATGAATTACTGACTCTGTGGAGTCGAGAAACTGGTATCACTAGCTTGTGTTTGTTCCTAGTGTTCACAGAATGTATATCACTTCTTTTACTAAAACTATCTTTGTTTTTGTGAACATACATTAAATTTTCGTAAATATACTGAGAGGCCAAAGTTAATATATTAATTTCTTTAAATTTATCTCTAAGAGACTCTCTCGGTTTTAGATTGTAAATAGTTCTAATGGCCCTCTTCTGTAAAACAAAAATAGTTTCTGAATCAGCCGCATTTTCCCATAGCAAAATCCCATAAGACATTATGCTATGAAAATAACTAAAATAAACTAATCTAGCTATCTCGACACTAGTGAGACCTCTAATCTTTTTTACAGCATAGGCTGCAGAACTTAGTCTGCTTGCTAATTTGGATATATGGGGGCCCCACTGGAGCTTTGCGTCAAGAGTGATGCCAAGAAAAACAGTGGATACAACAGGGCTCAATTCCTCCCCATTTAAAAACACATTGGTATTCAGGTTTTGAACATTCGTTGTTGTGAATTTAACACAATTAGTTTTATTTCCGTTCAAATGCAGATTATTAACGTTAAACCAATGCACTAATTTTGATATAGCATTATTCACTTCGTCACATTTAAATGATTGACGTTTAAGTTTAAAAATCAAGGAAGTATCATCAGCAAATAATACTATATCATGACTATCCCCTACGAGGTGAGGTAAGTCATTAATATACACCAGAAACAGGAATGGGCCGAGAATCGAGCCCTGAGGTACACCCATTAGTACAGGTGACCCGGAAGAACTTTTACTATTGATAATAACCTTCTGTTTTCTATTACTTAAATATGAAATAATAAGTTTAAGCGCTGTGTTCTTGACACCATAGTACTGTAGCTTCCTGATTAATGTCTCATGGTGAACACAGTCGAAGGCCTTGGAAAGGTCACAAAATATACCCAAAGCATCCTCTGAATTCTCCCATGCACAAAAAATATGTTTAATAAGCTCAACTCCAGCGTCAGTTGTCGAGCGACCCCTTGTAAAACCGAATTGATTATTATGTAGCAATTTATTAATATTAAAGAAACTTAACATCTGATCTAAAATAATTTTTTCAAAAATTTTACTTATTGTTGGTAGTACAGAAATTGGTCTAAAATTGGCGGGGTCTAATGTACTACCAGATTTAAATATAGGTATGATTTTACTATGTTTCATTAAATCAGGAAACACACCAGATTCGACGCTTATATTAAATATAGTGGCTAGATAAGGTGCTAATGTATCTATTATAGATAAAATAACTTTAACGGAAATCCCCAATAAGTCTGCCGTTTTCTTAACATCAATAGTTTTAAAATATTTAACGATATCTTTTGGCAGTACTCTATGGAATTTAAAAGTATTTGAACAAGCCTTTACATTTTGTTTGAGCAATGATTCGGCGACAGTTTGAGAAGAATTTAATGATTTTGTTGTCAAAAAAGGAATATCAGTGAAATGTTTCTCAAAAGCCATAGCAACTTCTTGATCAGATCGCGTTAAATTATTGTTAATATTCAATTGAAAATCCGAATTGCGCGGTTTGACCTTGCCCGTTTCACTATTTATTATTCTCCAGGTCATTTAAGGATAATGATGAAGTGGTTTTAATAAAAAATCTCAATCCATTACCTTTTCTAACAATGCCTGTTGGTCATTTGTCATTCCTAAATTATTACTAGTAATGTCACCTTGTATAGGTTTAATTTTTTGTAGACTTTCTGGTTTTTGTTCACGTAATCTCGTAAAGACCTGTGATGAAATACGAATTCACTGTAATATCTCTCCTGAACTAAAACTACATTTAAAAATGGTAAAGTCACGCTACAACTATGTTATGGTTGTAGCACAAATAGGTCGACTCCACTGACGAAGGATGACACTCTCACAATAGATCAACACAAAATAGTAGCTTCATGCTGTTGTGTGGTGATTGCACAGAAGTGGAAATCTTTTCTACTGAAAACGAACCATCTATGTTAATCTTTAGGGATGACAACGAATATGCATTTTGATTCTTAATCAAGGATAGATATAGATATCTATGGGCCACAGCATCTACTTACCGTCAGAAGAACTGTGTGCTCGTTTGTCCCTTATTCTATAAAGAAATTATTGTCCGTCAATAAGAACAGGGTTAGAATAAACTGGTATAATATGATGTACTTTTATAATTAATCCTAGATACTAATATCCATCAGTAAACTGTTAATGAGAAGAAGAGGTACAAAAATATAAATTATATAAAATAAGGTGACACGTAATAAGATAGAAACGATAGAAAGTTTGGATACAGTAACAAAAAAAAGGGAGACGAAATACATTCAGACCCAAAAATAATGGAGACTAGTCATCTGCTCAAGACAGGGTTATAGTAAACGAGTGTGTGTGTAAACACAAGTACTCTCTACACTCTCACTTATAATCCGATGGGACGGCAATATGATCGTTCTTAGCGATAAGACCGCCCATTGTATCACATTTTTTTCTCTTTTTTGTTCATACTTATGTTTATTTTTTGGCGTACAATAAAGTGTTATCTATTTATCTATCTATCTGTCAATACAACACGACTGGAGAGAGATGAGCCGTGAGACTAACGGCTTTACGTGCTTTCTGAGGCGCACGGATGATAAACCCCCACAGCTGAAGCATAGTTCATAGCATCTATATATATTACAGTTGTAGCACGAATAGGTCGGCCCGACCGATGAAGGACCACGCTCTCACATAACAAAATAACAGAATAATGCTGGCGTGTTCCGTATGATGCGTGTAGAGAACCGGAGACCCTTTTTACTGGAAACGAGACATTCCATTTTAGCCTTCAGGGGTGACAACGCATCTGCGTTTTGATTCTTTATCGATGATTTATGTAAATATCAATGGGCCACAGTATCCACTTACCATCAAGTGGACTGTGTGCACGTTTATCACTCTTATGCTATAAATAACTTTTAATAAAAAATCCTGACTCCGGGCTGCTACAGAGAGTTTCTTAACAAAAATCTTAACTGATATGATGATGAAATATTTTTGGCACGGCCCACGATTTGGCGGGACCAAACCAACCACCTTAATATTATATGATCAGTAGCCGTGCTTGCACTCACTCGGCCAAAAAGTTACAGAGACAACGACAGATCATATTAAAATAATAAAAATTTCATTAACATAAATTGGTGTTAAATACATAATTTAAATGGTTTATCTCACAGGGCATTTAAGCATTTCCTTCAGTCTCCCCTCGGTTCTAACGCCGTTTTTATTTCTCAACAATACATAGATGTTGTTGATTTTATCGCAACTATACAGCAGTTTCTCAATCAGCACCTAGAAGTCACAATATTTATTATTACTTCTCATTATGTAATTATATTTTATTGCAATCATCTTCAACTAAGGCTTTTTACAAGGGGCCATTTCAATTAGTAAAAGTCATCCAAGTAAAATTTAAATTTAGTTAATTAGCGACTTTTTGCCCGGAGGCGTACCATACTCCTAAACTATGCATACTCACACAGTCTATATACATAAATATTAAAAAGTCATTGACACCCATTTCATCTATCATTCTACTTATGTTTTGAAGAAAAAAGAATATAAAAATTTTATTTATCTTATAATAATTTTTTCGCAATAATTGTTATTTATATTTATAATAATTGTCGCTTGGAATATGTTTTAAAAGCCTATATCAGTTAACATTTCTGTCGAAAACATCGTAGATTACTTACCTTTCCTAGAAAACCAGTGCCACCAGTTACAAAAACTGACTTCCCAGAGTAGAAATCAGGCACAGACAGGTATGGCGTGTTATTACAAGCTTCATCCATTATTGCTAGGTATTTGTCTGCAACAATTGTTATACAAAGTTGTACTTTTAAGTTTACAAGGTGTCTCAATTTTTGGCTATATGATAATTGCTGTAAATGGCCATGTAATTACAGTTGAATTATATTAATACGCCTGTCAAGCAGGCAGGCGTATTGCCAAACGTAGCAGAAGATTCTGCTGCCCATCGCTTGTTGTTTAAATTTGTAATGAGAAAAATAATCAAGATATTTAAAAAAAACATAAATGGATGCAAACACTTTTGAATTGAATCATTAAATTATCAATTTTTGTTTCTTTTTTTTCAAATATCTTTTAAAACGAGGGTGCAAAGTTTGTATAAAAAATAAAACAAGGAATCCACTAAGAAATGATTTTAGGAAATTCAAACTCTTAGACGGTGAACTGTTGGAGTCGTACAACTCTTTATTTCACGGGGCGATTTCATATTTGTACGGTGAAAAATTATTCAATGAGTATTATTTATGAGTACTAGAACTAGAAAATTGTTACAATTACTTTAGATTAAAATAATGAAATACGCATTTTTAATGTTCCGAAAATGAAACCGGGAAGTTTTAAAACGTGCACATTACACGAGGGTATAAACTGCTTAGAAAATGTTTTTTTACGTTGCAAGATCGTGGGGATAACTAAAAATTAAATTATGACAATTTTAGAAAGTACATTTATTTTATAAGTTTTTTACCTTTGATTGTGGATCAACAAAAATGGTTTTCATGCTTTTACTTAATAATTAAGAAATACGTATACGTAGTTAATGCAGCTATGTCAATTGTGAGTATAGAGAAACGGATACTCAAATTCAAACAATACTCAAGAGTGGTAACGCATCTGCATTTTGATTCTAAATTGAAGATAGACCTATATATTTATGGGTCACAAAATCCACTTACCATCAGGTAGACTGTGTGCTCGTTTGACACCCAAAAACGAAAAACGTCCAATTTATGTAGGGTATAGAAAATTTTGTTTACTAATAATTCCATTATCTTTAAAATTTATGTTCGTATCAACTGCTTATACATCACTTAGCTACGGTAAAAGTATTAATACTTCCACTTGCGCCGAGATGTTCCTTCTCTTTTCTTTATCTCTACCTTACTCACCCAAGGCCCAAAATTTATTGAGCAATATATGTCTCCTCCCTTCTGTAATGTTAGAATGGCATTTAATATAGCCTTTTTCCTTACAGTTGACTTTCAAAGACTTCTTTTTCTTCTTACCCTTATAATTCACATATGCTTGACCACGACCACTGTTAATTCTCACTATCTTTTCGACTCGATTTGATAGTATAGGAGTTTTCTGCGCTTGTATCAGGCTTAGATGATGACGAAGATTTACTTAATATATAAACTTTATGTACAAATATTTGTCTCTATGAAGTTTTCAATTATTTCTAGATTAAAAAATATGATTTGATATTTAAAAGCTAACATAAACGAATTTGTTTTAAATAAATTAATTGACTTGGCAATCACACTAAACAATCTAATTTAAGATAATATGTATTACTTGGAAGATACATTGTGTTTTCATGCGATGGCCAAGTCAATCTATATATTTAAAATAGAAAAGATTTTTAGTATTTATGTGGTCACTATAAGATGTTGTTAGGTTAGCTAATTACGTAATAACTTAAGACAGAAGGACCCTTAAGTAGGGACTGGATAAATTAACCGACTTGGTATTACATGGATCACACAACTCTTTACGGTAGAAGAACTGAGTTGCGAGACTTGGTTTTTTTTACAAGTTATGTTTTTGATGGCATTCAACTTTCTTCAATTAAGTCATAAGTTATAGTTTCTTCAATTGGGTCATAAGTTATATTAATTACAGGGGTTCCTGCAGGGATTTTGTATCATCTCTGTATACTAACCAGGTGGGCCATTGTAGCTATAGATTTTTAATTGTGTAACAACATAGTTAAATTTAAATTCGTACTTGCACTAAAAATTTATCTTTGATTTCAGTGTTGAATGAAAAATGAACAATGCACTAATATATTTATACTTTTAAGCGAGTCTATAAAATGCCAGTTGGATCGAGAGTGAGCGAGAGGTTGTGTCAATCTATCGGGGCGTTATATGGATGGAAGATGGTGTTGCTATTGGTTTGCATACTTTGGTGTTATCATGTAATTACGAGTATATCCTTCACGTTACACCAGTGTGTGATAGTGATGTAGACATAATTACGGTGTGGTCGAACTGTAATTGCGCTATACTGAATGTATAAGGCATTACGCTGTTTTATCCCTGATGATGATTTATTACGTAAGCAAGAAAGCAAGTTGAACATCTGCTCTCACACTTTTATTATTTTTATCAATTAACCTTATCTGGTTCTATTACCGACATCAGAAGTGGGATCTTCTATTGTAATTCCGATATACTTTAAAAGCTAATTTTCGTTTTTCATATTAATATTTATACTCTAACTGTTTAAAATAAGATTAAAAATACTTTACATCATTAAATTATTACCTGAAATACCAAATGAACCTCTTGTTTTCGTGTTTTGAGAAACAACTTACGAAACGTTAGACCAACGTGAGTTATGAAAATGTCAAAGCGGCGACCAATCAAGGCGTTTAACGAATAAAACTGATGTAAGTAGCCATACGCGTCAAATTTAAATAAGCTATTTTTCATTTTGTCAATGGAATAACAACGTATGTAACATACGGTTGCGAAATGCGTTTTTTCGCAGTTTTTTCTTAAAGAATATCGCAACACTCCTTACAGTATTATTTCGCCCGAAATCTAAATATACAAGAAAATGCTGTAATTTTTTTAAATGTAACTATAAATGCACCATTATTTCAGAAACGATTCTTTGTACTGTAGTGATAAAACATGCACTTTCAATATTATCGCAAAAAATAACTTTTTTATTATAAACAATATAAAATATATAAAAAGACACTTTGATGAGTATTTCTTTAATAATCAGCTGGTACTAAAATCGCAAAATAGTGTGGTCTGACTTCCGTCGTTCTTCGATTCATGTGCCGAATTAAGGGGGTAAAATTAAGGATGACATATTGTAATATAAGAAAAATATTCTATCATGTGAATTTATGAAAATAGAAGTATCTTAAGTCCACCATGCCAAGGCGAGAAGATTATGAAAATTGAGCCAAAAAGAACAAAGAAAAAATTATGAGGTAACTTCGCACCTGAGTGATTTTTGATTCTAAAACTTTTTTAATTGTTATTTTATATTGTTTCTGCTATTACCTATATTTTTTTAATGTTATGCATTAAATGTTATGTATGATTAAGTTGAAAGTATTTATCAGATAATTTACGATACAATTGATTTTTCAATATTTTCGTTACTATTTCTAAAAAAAAAATTATATTACAATATTACAAATTAAGTTACGTAAGAAGTGGCATGTTTTTAATTTTAATTTGTTTTCAAGGCACAAGACGATGTTATATTCACTTTTATTCAGTTATAGTTTTATATCTGTTTTATAGCTATGTCGTGCAAAAGTGAATGAAATAATGTGAAAGATTACATTTTTACGTACTTAAATTTACATAGTTCAACATAAATAAAATTTTTCATATTTTGTAATTATAATAACACTTTTTCTTTTTAAAGACAACAAATTAATCTAGATAAGTTAAATTCATTTTCAATTCAAAATTCAAATGTAAATAAAATCAATCTTTACACAGTGAATATGAAAGATCTGCTAACCTTTTTCTCACGAATGATACGTGTCTAAAAATGTGATATACAATGTGCTTATCTTGAAACAATAGAGAGCAACCACAACAAAATGCTAATAAAAATTAAAATAATAAATGTTAAAAAAATAAATGAGAAATGATCTGTACTCGTAATGTTATTAACTAATAAATGAAAATAATAGGGGGGTCATTGTAGAAGCGTGCTCGTCGCGACCCCTGCCAGCCCTTTTCAGGGCTGCAATTCTACTCAGCTGCGCACCCATGACAACGAGGGTTAGGGCGTCCCCCCAAGGCGACGCACACCAGCTCGTCCCCGTTGGTGTGGAATGCAGCGCGCAACGCGGCGATGGGGACCGCCACCCGTCACGCACAGCCCGACACGGCGGAAGGTGGAAGACAGAGTGCAGAGTTGGCACGTGGAATGTTAGAGGAGGCATGAGAGATAAGACGAATGAGTTGATCGAAATAATGAAAGAAAGAGAATTAGATGTCGTGTGTATGTCGGAGACCAAACGGAAGGGCAGTGGTACTGAAGAGCTCCCTGGCGGGGCGTTAGCTCTATGGTCCGGAGTCCTGGAGAGCGAGAACGCCTGCCAGGGAGTGGGGGTGCTGCTGTCTTCTCGGTTGGTCGATGTTATGACTGAATATAAGGTTGTGAACTCAAGACTTCTCTGGGTTCGCTTTAAATTGGGACTGACGAAGTTATTTCTTTTGGCTGTTTATGCGCCGGTAGCTTCGTTGCCCAGGGCTGAGCTGGAGGAGTTTTGGGAGGATGTAAGAGAAGTTCTAGATTTGGCTAGGGGAAACGAAAGAATTGTTGTATGTGGTGATTTGAATGGATGGGTTGGTACCGCTCGACCAGGGTACGAGTCGGTACTTGGAAAGTTTGGCGATAAAAGGGTTAACGATGCTGGCAAGCTTATACTGGCGTTATGCAAGGAAAAGGGTCTTCTTGTGACAAACACTATGTTTAATCACAAGAAAATCCATATGTATACTAGAGAAAGAAAGAATGAGAGAAGTATGATCGATTTGTTCCTGGTGGATGATCGACTGCGAAAACAGGTTATGGATACGCGAGTATTCAGGGGTGCTGACCTGGGAACGGATCACTATCTAGTGATTACTAGATTTAGGGGTCTGTTCGCGGGTTGGCGCTACCGGACGGCAGTGACAGAACCACAGTCGGTCTGTCGCATCCGAAGCTGGAAGCTTCAGGAAGCGGATACTAGGGACACATATCATGCGAGGGTAGCCGAAAAGCTTGA